CCTGAGCACTCTGCTGATACTTGGATAAATCAATAAATAATCAGGGTTCGTTACCTCTGTGATCATTGTTGTGATGATGTCATCCATGGAGGTCAGATTCATGGTGAAAAGGTCGTCCATCTACAAACACAGGTGTTCGGGTTAGAAAAGGTGCAGCGAGTTTCACACAATCAAAACCTCCAAAAAGAGGAAACAAAATAAAAGAACAAGCTAACGCCGCCTGGCCCTGCTCCTCCTACGCTCGCTGGTCACATGTTTTGTGGCGTTGCTGTTGACTCATGTCTGTGCTGCTTCACTTTCTGCACGTTGTTTTTAGTCAGAGTAGGACAAAGGACACATTTTTACTCTTTGAAGTACTTTTACTCAGTTACTCTGTGATAAACTGTATTGTACTTTTAAATAGTACTACTGAGCCCTGATCCTACACTATAAGAGTCGTACAATAACTTTACCAAAATAAAAGCCTTGGGGTGAATATAAGTGCTGTGAAACGTTGTGTAAAACTCACAGACATTAAAGAATTCGTTTCTTTAAATGAAGCTGAGGATTAAAGCGGGTCACGTGCTCAAACACTGAAAACTCGACTGTTTGAATGTTTCAGGCATAAAAATGAGTCCTCAGTTTGACCACGTTCAAGTTTAAGCTCTTCATCTCTCACAGGTCTGCACACAGAGCACCTTCACTTTGAGTATTTGGGTCATTTAAGACTGTGGTATTAATAATTTCACTGATCCCAGAGTACTTTAAATTCTCCAGACGTGTCTGTGAGTCTCCTGGTCCTCCGAGGACCTGCGTCACATATGTGGACGTCACATTTTGGGTTATTTAGACCAAAATACTCAATTTTGCTCTACAAGGGCCTGAAATCCACTTACGAGGACACTATACTGCTGCTGTTCTACTGAAATGTAAACTGAAAGTCATATGTGGATCTCATTTTTCCCAGAAACAGAAATCTGGTAATTCTGTGTTTTACATTCATCAGGTCCCAATCAGCCCAAACAGAAATTAAAAATGATGAAAGAGTTCGTGTCTGAGGAGGTTGACGCATTAAAAAAGCTGCAGTACGAGCAGATATTTATCGTCGTGTTCCTGTTCACTAAAACCAGAAACATCATCTGAAATCTCAGTTTGTGGCGATCTGAGATCTGCTCACAACCAGACTATTATGGGATGGTTAATGATGAAGCGAAAAACATCTTTACACTGCGCTCAGAAATCAAAGTCTGCAGCTCGCCGCTTTCCCCGTGAAACAAAGACCAGACACAGACAGACAGACAGGCGTGGACTCACCGTCAGGCGTCTCTTCGTCTCTGGTGCGTCTCGCTGTTTGGCGCTTTTTCCACTCTCAGTCCGTTAGACCACAAAGTGACGTATGAAAGCAGAAGTTACATCAGCTGTCTGGAGGAGTGGCTACGGTTTCATAACGAG